TAACCCTATAACACTTTAAAACTATATAATACACCTTAAAATCCTTTTTAAAACTTAAATTTTAGGCGCGATCCTCGCCTGCATCCGCCCATGCATCCCCGCCCGCCTGCACCCCGCCGCAGGTATAAATTTGATAAAATATGCTTTAGATAAACTTTTCTAGGTGAAAGACTTATATAATAAAGTCTATTAATAAATCATAACCCTATTTCAGACAACTACCACCCCGCTATCAGTCCCGCTGGCCGTCTATCCATCCCTAAACGTCACGCTGTCGACCGGTGCCTTCTCATTCCCCCCAATCCACCATCAACCCCAGCAGATACACTGTACACAGTGTCATTTTACGTGAGTTTTTATAGTTTTCTATATTAATTAAATTAAAAAAAAAACAAAAAAACTCAATTTTTTACCTCAAAAATCGCGCGATTGGCTTTTCCTTGGCGACGCCGCGCTCCTTTGCACAGTCTTGGCAAGTGCGCTAGTGTCGTTACGAGCAAAATTCAGTTCGTATGAATCAAATTAAACTTTTAATAGAGTAAAAAGATTTAACGAATTTCGAACATAATTCTAAGGTAGAAAGCAGCGTGTTCGCCATACCTCGGCGACGCGCCGATACTCTGAACATCCGTACCTAGTGCGCTAGTGTCATTTCATCGAAATATAGCTAAATATCGATTAATATAAAATTAAATACAAGAAAAACCAAGAATAGAACTTAACTCAAAATAATAAATAACTTTTCAGGACAGACACCGTCCTTTCCCTCAGCCATCACCTCACCGCCGCCCACGCATCACTTACCTTTACCAAGTGAGTTTTTAAATGAATTTTGGCTATAAAATATGCCGGATTTTTTTAATAGATCTGTAGCATCACAATCGTACCTTAACAATCCTTTCCAGATGCACCCTCTGCGATTTCGAGTCGACAAATGCAAGCCTACTACTCCAACACATCCAGGAGACTCATCAATAATTCTGATTTATTTTTATGACTGTAAAAGTGTGCCAAATGGAGGTTCTCATTCACAAATTTTTGCTTTCAGCTTTTTCTCTAGAAATTTCCACACGGGACCCATGAAATTAGCCAAAAAATCGAGATATCCCTGAACTTTTACGAAACGGTTCAAGCTTTCTGAAGCCCCGGTTTTTCTTGAATGTAATTTTTATTGGATTGTATATTTTTTATTGGTTTTCCCCGGGCCGCATTTTATTTATCATAGTTAGTATTATTGTGACATTTGTGTATTATTGGATTTTATTGATTTTGATTGAGTGATTATTATTGTTCGTTCATTCCTATTATTGCTGCCGTGACAAATAAGAGAAAGTTGAGGAATATGCTATGATAAATGAATGTTGAAATATCATGGACTTCTTATCAAAAAGACACTTAACTTACCAAAATACAAATTATGATAGATTACCAAAAAGCTAGCAACGATAATTAGCATTAAAAATTATTAAACAATTTCCTTCCTTTAAATTCCGGAATTATAACTTAAAATTACACACGCGAACCCGTTTTTCCGGATTTTTTACCCGAAACGCCACCCAATTCTGGCAAGGTAAGACGAAGCGTCAAGCTTGAAGCTGATGAGTGACAAGAAGCCGGAAGGAGATCTCAAGCCTAGCATTCAGACAGCCAGCCAGATTCCGGAGGGATACAAATGACATGTCGCAATTCTAGAGCCATATAGCTACTTTCAAAGGTATCACGCCATGCATTTAGCTGATAAAGACTGTTGGTTTTAAGCAACATAATCTTTTTAATACGGTTTAAAACATATTTATCCTATCGAGTTCAAAATCACGTGTCCGTACCGTTTAAAAAAGTGAAAAACCAATGCTGTTTTTGAGGTTTTTGAGATTTTTCGTTCCAACCCTGCTACGCGTCCCTCGCTGGGCCTTAAATCCCAAATGTGGTCCCGCTCTCCTCTTGCTCCTTTTTATGCAGACAAAGAAGAGTCATTTATATGGGCACCGGCCAAGAGGGAGGAGGTCTTTCTCCTTTTTTCTAGGCAGTCTCAGCCAAGACGCATAAAGAAAAGCCCAAAAAAGCGCGACACCAAGACCCCCCCGAGCAGTGAGAAATCGACCTCGCTGCATTTGGGAGGACAATGGGCTTTTTCCGTTTTTGGATGTTTTTTGCGTCCATGTTTTATAAATTAGGATCAGCTTTTGGTGGCAAAGATATGTTTAAATTTAAATTAATTTTAATGTGTTAATTTAGAAGAAAACGAGGTAAAATGCTGTAGAGCTTGTCGCTCTCTCGCTCTCTCGCTCGCTCACTCTCTCTCTCCCTCTCTCTCCACCCATAATTCATTCAGCGAGCGACTCTCCTCGTCTCCGAATATAAACATCAGTCGGGTCCACATGTCCATCCCAGCTTCAGTGCCCACCCCGAAATTCCACCAAATGGCCCCCGCTACCCGGCACCCACATTTTTTTGGGTTTTTTAACCGTCTGGGTATCTTCTTTTCTGTTTTAATGGATTCTGAATTTCATAAATTCATCAGAAATCCAAAAAATTCAGAAACCATTCAAAGGTATCAAAAGAAAATCGAAAAATGTTTAAAAAGTAGCAAATTTAGAGCTGAAAAAACTCAATATATTCTTGTACGATAAATCAATTTTTGACTTAGTTATCGGTTTCAAAAACCCTGGAAAATTATAGACGACAGGCTACAAAACACCCCTTATGCTAAATTATCGGCTTTATCGGCAGAAAAAGCGCAAAAAAATTATAAACTCGAGAGTATAAACTACAAAATATTCCATAGTGCCCATCGATTATTCCAATTGAATTGCCCTCACCTAAATGGCCGCCAATCCCATCCATCAGACACTCGAATAGAATGGGGAGCAAGAGGGCGGAGAGCGTGTAATGCATTCTGCCCCCCTCGGCTTGGGGCTCGAAGCGAAAAACGACCCCGAGCCGTGCCCGCAAAATCATCGGGGCGTTTCGGATGGATGAATCATGAAATATGCATTTCTCTCTTTCAACGCTCTCCTTCTCACTCTCTCTCGCCCTCTGCCTCATACCTGCTCTACTTACATGCATTCAAGCGTCGTATAGGATTTCAGGAAAATCTTGGTCCTATGAATTTTCACTTACTAAGCCCTTTAATAACTTAAAAGCTGTTTTCCCTGGCTACAGCCCCTCCAAAATGTTGTCGATGATTTTTTTTTGAGTGGATAGTCTTGTTGACCGGACACGCTCGCTAGCACGCTCTTTCCTTCTCTCTCGCTTTCTGGCTATCGCCCTCGCTCTATCTATCTCTCTCTCTCCCTCTCTATCTCTCTCTCTCTCTCTCTCTCTCTCTCTCTCCTCGCTACAAGCCAGCTCTCCACCACCCAATACGATGGCCCATATCCAAACAGATCATATCACTTTCCGTTCTATCTCTCTCTCTCTCCGCTTCTCTCCATCTCTCGCCCCTATTTGCTCTACTCCTCTCCCCCCGTAAATCATCTTTGCTACGCCTATCAACCCGGACATCGAAATCTCAAGCCCTCCACCCTGTTGTTTATTCCTTCAGCCTTATTTTTTCCTTAAAAAATCTATAATTCGGTTAATTAATTTTCTACTTCCTGACAATCAATTTAAATAGGGCGTGACAAGCGGATGACCGAAAAATTTATCAAAAACCCCGGCTGTCACGCTACCTTTAAAGCGACCAATCTCTGCTGACAGCTCCTTGAAATATTGCCATTTCTGCCTCAATCCTGGAGGAAAAGCCGAGATTTATTTCCCTGACACTCTATCGCTCAATCCGTGTAGGTGTCAGATTGATCCGTCGGGTGTCCGGATGAATGGTCCTCAAAAATTCATGCCTCGCGGCCCACCCCTGGGTACCCCAGTTGGATGGATGAAGAGAGACAGGGAGAGAGAGAGAGAGAGAGAGAGAGAGAGAGGCAATTTTCATTCGAGCGTCCGGCCATTTCCCGGCTATTGGATCCGACTGACCCGGGATAACTATGCGGCCAATCCTCTAAAAATTATTTTTCCTGAAAATTATTGTTTCTAGCTCGTGCTTAAGGCTCTCTTGCTCATTGTCGCTTTCTTTATTTTTTATCTCTTGCTCACCCACACCCACTCTTTCTATCGCGCACTCGCTCTCTCTCGCTCTCTCTCGCTCTCCCTCGCTTTCTCTCTCACTCGCTCTCTCTCGTTCTCTAGCTCTGGCTCCCTCTTTCTCCGCTCGTTTTTCGAGATTTCAACCCCTTCGTACTCGAAAAACCCTTAAAAATAGCATCTAATAAATTTCAATGTATTCCGATAAATTCCTTTACGTTCCGTTCCCAACCACCACCACTCCTCTACCACCCGAAAATTTGACGAGCTCTAATTAGTCAGTGGTGGCTTTCGGGGGGAAGAGCTGTAGCCCCCACAAGCGAAAGCGAGTACCCCCTGAAGTGTCCATCTGAAGAGAGAGAGAGAGAGAGAGAGAGAGAGAGAGATAGAGAGAGAGAGAGAGAGAACCCGGGGAGAAAATGGAATTTAGGGTCGTCGGAGACGAGAACGAAACACTCGCAACACACCGCCCACGTATTCTACACGCATCTCCATGACACGATGGCGCCCTCCTTCATTTTTGCGCTTTATCATCTTCATATTCCTTAATTTCTATCAAATTCTGGCGGAAACCACGTGTCCATTGAAATTTTCGTCGAAACAATCGATGGGATATGAGTTGGGAACGCAGGTGGGTATCTGGTAATGACTAGAAGTTAAAGATATACGTAAAAATCTAGAAATATTTTTGAAATTAGCCGCAAAACTCTAAAAATCTCGGCCAAAAAATGTAAAATATCGATTTCTCCACCATAAATAGACCATTTTCGCAGAAAAAAATTTCTGTAAACTTTCTAAATTTTTTTGCGCTTCGATAGCACTTGTAACAGGACCATGACGAAAAGTACAGACTACAGACCCGAAAATTAGTTTGAAGACTTATTTAGTTACAAGTGTGCTGCGGCGTTGCTTTATTTTCAATGTGGCCCATCGGCACCTCTTTCAAAATCACCGGCGATCCGCTACGCCAAAATTTCAACACCAACGAGACGGAGATGTGGAGCGAGCTGCAGGTTCGTGCTCACGTTCTAGAGCTCAAAATCATCGCCTTCACAATTATTCAAAAAAAAATTACTTGTTAAAAATGAAACTTGTAAGACTTTTAAAATCTAACCCACAATTAAATTAAGCTCGTCAAATCAACAGTAATATCAAGTCAACAGGTTGAATAGCTCCAAAACTAAACAAATTTAGCTAAAACTCCTGGAAAAACTGTATTAAATTACAGCTTCTGCTGAAAAAAATGAAGCTTGTAAGACATTGAAACCAATAAAATAAGCCAAAAACGTAAATCGCGTAAATCTAAATGTATACAACGTTAAATCACATTGAATACTAAACCTAATTAGAATTCTTACATTTAAAAACAAAACTCTACGCCATTAAAAAGCAATAAAAAAACTTCGTTTAAAACCGTCAAAACTCTAAGAAAACCATTTTTCCAGCTCTCGCAATGCAGCGATCGCGCCGAGGCGACCATCGGATTTGTCGAACCACTTCCCGGCGTGAATTGTACCTATCTACGAGGGCAAACTGTTAATTTACAGCAAAGTAAGCTTTAAAACCAAGCAAAAACCCTCAAAGTAGAAGCGATCGAAATGCCGGCGTGGTACGTGATCTGCTACAAGAAGAAAGAGTGCTCGAGTTGCAGGTATCACCCATCTACAAAAAGCAAAAGGCGCCGTGAAATTTAGGGTAGATGTGATTTGCGCGAATGACCTGTCGGCGGCCTGTTCAAATATCTCCCTGATCGGCTCGGCGACGACGTCTACGAATTCCTCGTTGAAATATTGGTATACGGTGAGTTTTTGCGATAAAAAGACTAATAGGAAACTCGTTCTCAAGGTTCCAAGTTAATTCCGTAGCGCTTTAGTAAAAACAAAACATTAAAATCTAGCTAGGATCTAATTTAAGGTGAACTGTAGGTTTTTCTGCGTCGAAAATAGACTTAGAAAGGGGGACTAGGAATTTACAAATTAATAGCAACAAAATATATCGATTTTAGTTAAAAGAAAACATCTAGCCCGGATCAAATTTCTGGCATGCTGCAAGCTTTCAGCAACAAAAAAGCAGCAAACGTCAAACTTTAAAAGGATAGTTAAGTTAATCAGGTTAAACCGCAAGATCTAATCTAGAAGCGCTCGAAAAAACCTAAAATTCTATTTAAATTAAAAGAAAAATCCCAATTCTAGGTGGGCCCAAAATACCCGTTCGCCGCTAGCAGTAGCGTTCGAGTATCCGTTATCCGGCAACGATCGATGGAGGTCATTCGAAGCGAGACCAGGAAAGCGCGGGTAAGTCGAAGACCCAGTAAATTAGAGGTATTTCAAATAGCTCTTCCAAACACTGCAGACTGTCTGACAGATCTGCTAAATACGAAAACGGCATTAAATTCACCCAATGCTGCGTTTTTAGCCAAAGCTTTACGTTGAAAAAAGCCGTAAGTTGTAAAAAACAACCGTTTTCTAGCTGGGCCATAAAGAACATCTCCTATTCGATGGTCTACTGCCAGCCGAGTGGTACATTGTCCGCCGATGTCTCATCATTGACCTCCCCGCCTCGCTGACCACAAACCCAGAATTCGCCTTCGAGGATGGCCCAAATAAGATCTGCGTCGAGGAGGCTTATCGGACAGCTTCGAGCGCAAATTCGTATAGCACAATTCTTCTTCCACTAATTTTCCTATGCGCAATTATATCCCGATTATACTAGGCAAGCAAAACTCGGTGCTTTGGCATCATCGGAGGGGGAAACCCGCCGGTTTTTTCGAAATCCATGACGCGTATCGCTCAAAATTACGAAGAAGCCGTTTCTAATTCAGCCAATTTTAGCCATATTTGAAGGAATTTAGTCATTTTTAATTCAAAAACTTGGCGAAAATTTAACGTTTATACAAAAAGCTTCATTTTGTCATTTTCAGTAGGAAAATCTATGCTTTTTCTTGTTTAAAAAATAGTGGAAAACTAAAGAAATACACGCCATTTATGTTTCAACTCTCGGAACCACAGAAAAAGGCTCCCCATCCCCCACCGATAATGCCAAAGAACCTAAAACGCAAAATTTCTTTTTCTCATCGCTCATCTGTGATCCAGCCCCAAGTGTATCCGTCAATTACGGGTTTGACGTGTCGTGCAAAAAAGACCCAAGAAAAAGCCACGACAAACGAATGGCATTTATTTAAATCGAACAACAGAGGAATAAATATATATTACATAACGAGCGGATATGAGAACAGAACATTTTGTGGAAACAGCCACAAAAAGGAGGAGAAGACAACGAAGAAATTGGGACGAGAATTCGGTACATAGAGAAAAGTAGGGAGGGGCGAGGTCTGGGGGGAAATGGCGAACACGTAGATGGGGGCGCTTCAGCAGAATTTCCACCGATTGCCGCACTCGAGGCAGAAGACGAACGTCGTCATCGGCTCGTCGGCCGATCGCGTCTGCAGCTGGGTGTATGTGCAGTTCTTCTTTTGGCACTTGCCGCACTTGAACATCTCCGATGGGGTGCCTGAAAAAAAAATTATATATATAGAAGACGAAAAAAATTAACGAATTTTGTTTCCGCTTTTCGGTATAAAACTGGTAAAAAGCAGTGGCAAAATTGCCGGAAAATCGTTCAATTCTACCTTTTGCGCGCGAAAATTTATGAAAAATAGACCAAAATCAGCAAAAAAAATCCTCGTTTCCAATGTCCTGCGAATCCTACTATATATAAAAAAATAGTGTTTGTGTGTGTGTGTGTATGACACTTTGCATGCAACTTCCGTCAGGTTGTTCCAGCAGTATCTCAAGAAGGGTAGTATTTACAGCTATGCTTGATAAGTCATTAGCTGCGTAATGCCCAGGAGATGACTGCACGCATACCAGATTTCGCAAAATCGCCTATTTTCGAAATCAAATTTTAGTTTTTGTTGCAAAATTCGAGACCCTCTTTGTTAGGATTCAATTAGCTTACACCGGAAATGGGGAGAGCCTATATAAAGGAGCAGAGAGCGCATTTTTTTGGTCAGCGTGGGTCGTGCCGAATTATGTAAAGTGTAAACTTCCATTGGGTTGGACGGGGCCAGGGTTGAAAAGTCGCGAAGCGGCTTTTCAACCCTGGTGCATTTATAATTTTTTAGTTTTAAACTACTGAATCACACTCAATTTTACGAGCAGGCCAAGAACAATAAATTGTCTACTACCTCCGATAAGCGAAAAGCGGCAAAATTAATATAAAACGCTACTAAAAATCTAATTTAAATATTTTCCGAGCCACAAAAAGCATAATTCTAATGAACATAACTCAAAAACTCGTTTACCTTGTTGCACAGACACTTGGGCGTCGCGAATGGCGTCTTGGGCAAACTTCTCGCGCAGCTTCTTCACCTCATCCGACGCCATGTCGTTCGATGTCATCACCTAAAAACAACGTAAATTTGAGAAACTATCAAAAACTCCATACCGCAAATTTCTCGGCCGACACGACGGCGGTGAGCACGTTCTCGCGGAGGGCGTCGTTCTTCTTCAGGTTGAAGACGCGCGAGCGGAGGGCGGCCTTGTATTTTTCGCTGCTGTTCTTGCCGTTAGACTAAAAAAGATTTGAGGACAAAAAGTAAACGCTTACATCGAACAGCTTGGCCTCGATCTTTATCGCCAACTCCTCCGGGTCGTGCGTGCCCTCCGGGAGCGGTTTGCACTTGAGCGAGGTGAGCAACAGCTCACAGGCCTTGATTCGAATCTAAAATCAGCGTTTTAAAGAGCATAGAAAAAAGTTACCTCATCGCCGGCCAGCTCATCGGGTGGGAAGTTGCCGGAGAACGAGGCTTTCTCGGCAGGCGGCTAAAAAATAGAAAACAAATAGAAAAATAGACATTCTAATACCTTGGCAACTGGAGGAGCTGTGGGCGTAGGCGCTGAAGTGGTTGCGGGGGCAGACTTGACGACTTCTTTCTCCTTGGGCTTGTCGTGTTTCGGGGAGCTCTTCGCGTCGCCGCCCTCGAACATCGACTTCCATTCCTAAAAACTGGTGAACTTTTACAATACAACAACTCCAACCTTGACGAGCGCCTTCGCCCTTTTCGCAAACTTCTCGTCACTGCTCTTCTTGCGCAGCTCGTTTACAGTCACGCCGATCCGGGTATTCTAAAGGAAATGTAGAGCAAAGGTTCTAAAATAATACCGTCAAGACAAGAACTGTAATCGGCTGCTTGGCGAGGACCCCGAGTAGTTCCAGCGCCTCGTCATTTTGTTTGGCCTCGATTAACTAAAGCAACATAGACAAAAAAATAAAATGGATCTTACTTTTTCTAGTTTACTGCCAATCTTCTTGACTTCTTTTTCGCAAGAAGACATCCTAGGCGCTTTACCTGTAAAATAGAAATAGATCCTGAAAACACGCTCAAAACAACGGAAAAAGCCAACAAAGAATGAGCAAATATGGTTTTAAACGCATCAAAGCTTTAGCTATCCGGGAGTTTATCGCGAATAATTCGAAAAATCCATTTTGAGCATGAAAAACGTTACTGTAGCCGTAATTTGGCGCGATAAAGACACGTCAGGTCGGTTTTTAGCGTTTCGTACCCGAAAGCATCGAGAAACCTAGCGAAAAACGTATTTTTCAATTCCTGGAACGAAAAAAACAGCGTTTTCATACTAAACTACAACTTTTCGACGTCATAAAAACCAAAGAAACGAAAATGGGACGGCGACGACATTGAATTCGCTGATTGCCGCCGGAGAGCCGGGCTGGACGGGGGACAAACTACGGTTGTCGATCCAAGGGATAAACTGCGCAAAAGAAGCAGCACGGCAAAAAACCAGAAACTAGCGTAAAAACGTACTTTTCGTTTGTTTCGTGCTTTTAAATTATAAGAAAAGAAGATAGTTCATTTGGCGTTCAATGCCTGTCTCTGATTTCAAGGCCCTATTCGCGTAATAAATAAGTTTATCGAACAGCAACTGTGAGGATCGTGTAAAATCTCTGGGAACAGAGTGAGAGTGCAAATGCAAGAACGGGGGGGGGGGGAAGGGGATCGCAAATCCAATGATAATAAGCGGAGGCAAACGAATATGACGCGCGTTGCGAGGGGAAGGGGGACTTTGGCAAAAGCGAGGTGTTAAAGGTGGCGTCAATTATTATCGGGATGCGGGGGATGGATGTATTTGTTTATGTTTGTGTGTGTATTTGTGCGAGTTTCGAGATCGTGGAAATGTTAATACACCAGGACTAGTTAGAGATCCAATGGGTTTGGGGGGGATATTTGGGAACGGGCTGAGGGGAGCGATAAAAAACAAGCAGAATCGAGGGCGAAAATGAAATAAATAGAATATTTGAGGGGTGCTAATCACCACTATTGGGTGGAGCTCGGCTCGTTCGGCTGGTGCACCGTCTCGGCGAAGGCTTGCAGCTTCTCCAGCGAGTTGTCGAGGGTCAGGCCTTCGAAGTCGGGCTGAAAAAGGGAAATATAGTTTTATATAGTTTTCTTTAAAGCTGATTTCAAGTTTAAAATCGAGGTTTAAGAGGCTAGTGTAGAGTTTTTGGAAACCTAGCAAAATAAAACCGTTTCTGGACTCTTAGCATTGTCAAAAAGTCCTGTTTTGTCGTTCTACTACGGTCTATTTACAGAATCTGCTTCTTTTTTCTAAAATTTAACCCTTTTTAAGTATAGAAACCCCTTTAAAACACCAATTTTCAAAAAAATGTGTCTTTTTGCCAAGAAAACGCAAAAATTTTTGTACTAATGTTTGCAAAAAACTATAAATTTGTAGTTTCTTTATGCGGAGCTCAAAAAAAACTCACATCTCCTTGGGCTCCCCAGCTGATGACATCGAATGCACACTTTTTGATGGGCGCGAATGCGGGGTGATTCCAGTTGGCGAGCTCCTTGGCCTCCTCATCCTTCTCCTTTTGTCGCTTCAAGTTGGCGTTGATCTGGCACTAAAATCAACAACTTCGAAGCAAAAATAAAAAGCCGAACCTGCTTCTTGGCCTCGGCGAGCACGCGGTCGATGAGGTCTTTGTAGTCGACCTTGTAGAGGTTCTTCTCGGGCGCCGACTTCATCCTGCCCGGCATCGCGTCCTGCGTGTGGTTGGCCAGGGCGCCGAGCACCGTGCGGAGTGCAGCCACAGCAAGGGCGTGCTAAAATTGAAAATTTGTAAATATACAAATTTAATTGATAAAAATTATAAAAATCTCTATAAGTTGCATTGAAGCTTACATCCTCCGCGCTGGGAGCTTCAGCAGCCGGGGCCTCGGCTTGTTTCTTGGCGGGCGGCTCGATGGTCTCGCGCCGCTTGGCTTCACGGGCAGGTGGCGGAGGCTGGACAGTCTAAAAATGATTTTTTTTGTGCTTTCGCAAAATGGACTCAACTTTTGCTATTTTTTTTGATTAAAATTAGCTCTCCTTCAAGCGGAAAAACCATTTAGCAAACTTGGCAAAATGTTTGAAGATTCGAGATTTTCGTGGAAAAACTATTAGTTGTATTTTTCAATAAAAAGTCGGACATTTTTACGCTAAACTGATTTTAAAAATTAGTACAAAACCATACCCTGGCAGTAGATCGACGAGGAGGGAGCGGTTCTTCGATTTCTTCTTCGGATTCCTCGGATTCTTCCGGTTCTTCTTCTTCCTCCTCCTCCTCCTCTTCGCTGGACTGCACCTTTCGGCTGCTCGCTTGAGAGCTGAAAAAAATCATTTTTATACGAATTGAACAATATCGAAAAGAAAAAGCCAGGGAATTTATTAACAAAAAACGTACCGTCGAGTCGAAGGGCTTGGCTTGATGGAAGGCGGAGCGGCGGCAACTGCTGAACTGCGCGAGCTGGCGACGCTTCGACGAGACTTGGCCTTGGGCATGACCTCTTCCTCATCTTCGTCCTCCTCACTCTGCACGAGAGCGCGCTTCTGAGTGGCAGCTGCAGCTCGGGCTGAGGCGGCCCTGATTGGTGGCTGAGAGACGGCAGCGGCCACCGGGGCTCGGAGGGGAGTGATCTTGGCCGTTTGCTTGTTTTGGATCGGGGCGGCAACTTCTTTCTAATAACAGGAAATTTAAAGGAGTATTTTTATGCTAAGATCCAATGCGAGCGAGCTCTAAATCATGCAAAAATTCTGCATCTTAAAACCAATCATGTTCGCTAAATCCAAACTTTTTATACCTTTTGAAGTCTATCCGGTGCTGACACGACCTCGACATCCCGGTCCTTTTCTCGCTCCTTCCCGTGCGACATCTTGCCCTCCTTAATGCTCTGCAGCTGCTCTTCTTTGGCGCAAGACTAAAAAAGTTTAGAAAACTGTTACAAGACTTTACCTGACAAGCCGAATTTGGATTGTCTTGACAGGTCCACCCTTCCGGAATTCCCTGGTCGATGTAGCGCCGCTGCACGTCGAGGTGTCGCCATTTTAGACATTTATCTAGAGAGAAAATTAGATTCAATCTTTTAAGAGCGCTTTGCAGACAAAAATTTTAATTGTATTCGATTCCATAAAAACATTTAGAAAACCTAGAAATGTTAAAAAATTGGTCATTTTGGCCGCAGAATATATAATTTGTCGTAATTTGCACTTTCACGCTCAGCAACAACTACATAGAAACGTTTTTTTTCACAATAAATTAAAAATAAAATAAAAACGCACCACACTGCACGGTGTAGCAACCGATCAGCTTCTGGCGTTCGAGCTTGTAGCGCGTGTCCGGATCGCAGACCGATTCCCAGGCCGTAGAGTTGTAGCCGAGGGCTTTCCTGGAATTAATTTTTTACAAACAAAAATGCATATTTTACCAGAATTGAATGATGCCGCCCTTCTCCTCGGCCAGCTTCAGATCCATCCAGTACTGCTCCATGTGCTCGTTGGCGGCGCGCATCAGGCACAGGTATTCGGTGCGATTTTCGAAGCCCTGCTTGTTGTGGGTCGGGGCGAGGACGGTGCACGGCACATCCACGATTCCGATGACGCCCAGGCATTTCCTAAAAATTTGATCATCGTGATTTTCGATTATTTTCAGCGGGAAAAGAAGCTTTTGAATCCTCTCTCTTGTTTTAAAAAATGCAGAAATGTTCTAAAAAATCTGAAGAATTTACAAAGAAACTTAAATTTAGAGAAGAGAATTTTTAGCCCTTTCTGAAGCCTAAGAAAAACCTTTCGAAAACCATATAAAGCCGAAAAATTTACATGTTCTGATCGTGACGCTCGCGCAGAATCGTCGGCTTGGCGTACATCTCGATCAGGCGGCCATTGTTGTAGACCATAATACCGTAACTAAAACCAAGATGAAATTTAGACCTTTAAAAATAATCCCTACCGATTCCTGCAGTGCAAGTTCAGCCCAAAGTAGAACGTGATGGGCACGGGGTTGGCCTTGGCCTTCTGCGCCGTCTGCTCGCGCTCCTTCGCCTGCTTCAACTCCGACGACAGCTCGGCCACCTTCAGGTCCAGCAGATTCACGCGCAGCTTGGTGTCCCGGTTCATCGTGCTAAAAGCGACAATTAAATCGGTTTTTCCATCAAATCCGATCTGACTAAAAAGTAAGAGCAAGTGTTTATAGTTTTTTTCGTAAAATTTTTCGATATTTAACGTCGAAAACTGCTTTACAACTTTGAAAATGCCTAAAATTTGATATTTTTGCCAAAAAGCGGTTATTTTCGTCGAAGATTTGCTACTTTTAGTACTTTTTAAACCAAATTTGTAAATGTCTCCACGCTTAGGACTAGCGAAAAAAAACGGTGGAAGAATTTAGACATTTAATAACCCTTTCCAAAAACAAACCTAATACTGGACTGCATGAAGCGGCTGAGGTCGGACTGGGCCTCTTTGATCTGGTCTTCCACTAAAAATGGGATTCGTTTCCAAAACTTGAATATTTTCTCACATGATCTGACCATCGCTTGGGCCTGCTCGTGGGCGCGCTTCGCACAATTCTTCAGGTTCTTGGCGGCGAAGAGGTATTTGCGGCGATGGGAGAGGGAATAGACGAGATTCGTCTGCGCCACTTTCATTCCTCGGAGATAGACCTAAAATTAGAATTTGGATGGCTAAATCTAGCGAATCTTACTTTCATTCGCGGCTTGGCGTAGAGGACGGAAAGGTAGGATCGCAGGGAGTTGCGCTCGGCTTCTCTAAAATAAACGGCATAGAAAAGTGGATAAAATCTTTCCATTTTATCGTATTTTAGAGAGCCTGTAGACGTAAAATTGAATTCAATTTTTTCAAAAGCCAAAAAATCAGCGGGGTCAAGAATAAGCCGAGTTTTATACCTTTGATCCGAATTCTGCGAGAGGCGAATGTCGTATTTCTCCGACGTGAAATCGAGCTCGGGCACTATCATGTCGAGCTGCCGAAGATTGTAGAGCACTATCAAGGTGCCCGACGAACCCTGAAAAATGAATTTCAGTAACAAATAACTGAATACCGAAATCTTCTCGAATTGGCCAAACAACGAGGCGGCGTCCTTGAACGGAGAGTACTTGAAGATGATCTGAAAACGTAATTACCGCAACAATAAAGGTAATTTACATCCATCTCAATGCCGTGGCGCTCCTTGTCCTCGTCCGGGTTCTCCAGATACGCGTTGTCGCCCTCGCTGAACGATGGGGTCGGGACGAAGACCTAAAAAAATAGAATTTTATAATTTGTTTTCGGTTATTTTGGAAGATAAAAATAAATTTAAACAAAAACCAACTTCTTTCAGCCGGTTCTCCTCGTGAAAAGTTCTCGACAAGAAGAGGCACGTGCGCATCTGGTTCTTCTTGGTGAACACTATCAAATCCTTGCCCACGCGCATCGAACCACTAAAAAAACGAACATTAACCCTGGCTTCTCGGCTTAAAAAATTATCAGTAGTTTATAAAAGCTCAGAAAGTAGTTTAAAACGTCTCTTTTTCAAGTCAATGGTTCACGGCTTATATTTTTAAGCTGTTTCCGGTAAAATTCACCTTTTCAATCCGTTTCCGTACTGTCCGACGGTGTTCGGGTTCGCCTTCTTGAACGAGTGGCCGAAGCTGATGACGGAAATCGCCTCTTCACGCGTCATCCCGCAGCCATCGTCGAGGAAAGAGAGCCCTTGGATGTTCGGATCTAAAAAGTGGATTTAACTATGTATTTTGAAAGCCTTTTCGTGATTAATTTTCAAATTTCCTCACCCCAATCAATGCGCAGCGAATTGGCGGCCGCATCGTAGGAGTTGTCGACGAGCTCAGCTATCGCACCAAAGACGAACTCGTGAGTGGTACTAAATTACGTATTGCAAAAACTGGCTGAAAAATGGTACCTGTTCGTGTGGAGGTAGTCGTACGAGATCGACGCCTTGTTGAGAAGGTTCGTCTTGTACGCGCTTTTATCACCCATCTGAAAAGAAAATGCTTTGTAAAGTATTTTAGTTGATCAGAGTAATAGAAAGAGAAGAGAATAGAAATAATAGAAAGAGGAAAGATTAGAAGATTAGATCGAGCGTCTGATATCCATAAATGAAGCAAAATGAGTGTCGCGATTGCTGTAACGGTTACAGCAACTTACCGCATTTTCATGCAAACAAATTTGCCTGCAAGCCAACTCATATAACAACCCTACTGTAACCCTTTCCGATATATTGAGCAGCTGAAATGAAAGTAAATTACGAGCGCAAGAGCAAGAGCTTCAAGACATTAAATCGAGTTCAATCGAGCTTTTCGGCTGTAGAAAAGGTTCCTAGGCTCAAATGCGACCTCAACATTTATCGTTTTTCTGTCCTTTTTAACGTCTTCAAAATCTAGGCCAAATCAGCCCATTTGCAAGGCCTAATCTCGTGTTGATTTCAAAGAACATAGAAATAGAAGAATTCAAAAAAGCTCATTAGAAGAATTCCAGTTCAAAAGAAGGGTGTTGTGGGTGTCTGGCGGGCCGTTGGATTGGGGAGTGTCCCGGTCGGCCGATCGAGGTCGCTCTAACACTCCACAGATACGGGGTACGGTGGTTGGGGCACGGGTTAGCAAAAGGCCACAGTTTAATTAAAGGGGCGTTGAAGCCTTGAAAATACATAAAACTCAATAAATACCCTAACTAAAAAGAGAGGCGATTGTAAAAAAAGGAATTTTCGCACGTGAATGCATTTTCAAGCTTTGCAGCTTCTTTCTGAAGGCGTTTCGAACTTAAAAGAGAAGAAAACGGTCGAAAACACCTACAAATTAGAAAATAAACGTTGATAAAATACAACCGTGGCTGCATAACTAACTAAAAATAGAACTGTATGTTTATATTTGAAGTTTAGATTTGCTTTTAAGGCTTTATCTTGTTCAATCTGTCTGAAACTTTAAATAAACAATTTATTACATTAAAACCATCGCCCAAGTTGGTATAATAAAACACGACGGAAACCATAAATTAACAATCATAAAAAGTGAACATTTTGTGCGTTTTGAAAGACGATGATGGGGAGCTTTGGAAGCTGAAAGTCACACCGGTACCTGGGATTTCTTCTTGCTTTTCTTTTTCAAGGCCTATGGAAATAAATATTAATTATTGCTGGGGGGTATAAATAATAATTCTAATGATATAAAAATATAGATATTATAGTTTAAGCCCTTCGCTTGGCCTTCTTGAAGTTGTTGCCGAAGCAGTAGGGGCATTTGCCCTTGTTTGGCTGCGAGCTAAAGGCGGGCGGCATTTGGTTGTTGTTGTTGTAGTTGTTTGCTGAAAATTCGGATTTCCTCAATGATCTCTACTAGTATGCCTTTTTTATAGTCCTTTTCTAGCGGTTTTTGAAAGTTTTGCCCTACCGTTGCTCATTCCTCCGAATCCATTCCTAGGTCCGCTCAGGAATTGGTCACGGAATTTTCGGGCAAACTCGCTGGCGTCGAACGAGCCGCCATTGTTGTTGTTGTTGTTGTTGGTGAACGTGCTAAAATTTAATAAAAAGATTATATAATTTAATTAAACCGACTAAAGAGGCTTAAAACGTTAAAGTACTTTTTCCGTGTTTTCTTTTTGGTCTAGAAAAACTACCAAAAATTGCTAGAAAACTCACTAAAAGCTCTAAAAATTATCTATTCCATAAGGAACATCCTTTATTTGGAGCTTCAAATAAGTGGAAGCCCAAAACTCTAAAATTTGAAAGGTTAATAAGTTGAATTTCCGAAAAAAATAGCTCTGACCACATGAAATCGTTTAAAATTTCGTAAAAAGCCTAAGGACATTTAGAAAACGCGAAAATCGACAAAATGATGTGGTGATTGACACTTAGATGAGCGTTAATTTATAACCTTAAGCGTTTTGAAAGCAAACAAAGCTGGAAAAACCGCGAAAAACCCATAGATACGGCCTTCACAATCCCTTGAAAAGCTTGGAAGCCGCCGATAGTGAAGCAAATCAAATATTACCATAACCAAAAGCAAAGCAAGGCTACAAGCTACAGACAAAGGATTCGCAACGCAAAGCTTGCAGGTACGCAAATTTACGCTCTTACGTACGTAACGGCGCAAACAGTACGTACGTACGTACAAATGCGAAAACATACAGATTTTGAAAGCTACCAAAAAAGTGCTCGGCGTGCACAGAACAGAAAAAGCAGCTCGAAAAAAAAAACAAAAAGCATGCCTTTTGCCGGTATTTGCTGGGGTGTCTTCCTTTCTCTGCGTCTCCTTCTTCTTGTCGCCCTCCTCGACCTTGATGATCTTCGCTGGGCCGGTGTTGTTGCCGGTTGAGCTACGGTAGGTGGGTACGGTGGGGGTGTGCAAAGTGCGAAATTGGGCATGCAAATCGCCGGAAAATCAAGCGGAAAATAGCATATCTATCATAAGGATGCATTAATGACGCGATAAAAGCCATAAAAACGTAACAATTTCCATATTTCGGCAATTTCTCTGGCTCTAAAAGCTCTCATTAATCCATCCTCGGCTATTACGCAATAAAAATAAGTATTTAAAAGTTTAATTTTTTATTTTTTGGGATTACCTAGGCATATCAGCCGAAGGGAACGACGACATCGAGTTCACGACGATCGGCTGGCTGCCCATTTGGCCGGAATTCCCCTCGTACGCCTGAAAGATAGAGGGTGAGAGAGAGAGAGGGAGAGAGAGAGAGAGAGAGAGAGAGGAAGAGAGGAAGAGAGAGAAACGATACATACCTGCATGATCCTCTGTGCAATCTGCTTTCCCAGATTTGTCCCAAAAGACTGTGGGTCTCCGTTGAAGAGGTTGCTCGTGTCCATCGACCGTGAGAAGAATCTGGAATTGTGGATTAAAGAGGTTAGCAAGGGGGAAAATTCTAAAAAAAAACCTCCACAAGCTCCCTTTCCTCAAGTTAGTTAGTCTAAAGGTCCTAAGAGCTTCTAAATGGTACTTGCTGGCTTGTCCACTATTGAATTCACGCTTCTCTATTTTTTGGCTCGCTCGCTCCCAGACTCTCTTTCTGTCTCTCTCCCTATCCCTCTCTCTCTCTATCTCCTTCTCTCTCTCTTTCACCAGTTCCCTTTCTCGCTCTCCCACACTTTCCCTAATTTTCTCTGCTAGCCTCAATACTCCTTAATAATCTCTGCCAGCTCTCCACTCCTTAAAAAACAGACCTGTTGTTATCCTCATTGTTGTTGTTGTTTTGTTGATTATTTGTGAAAATGGAATCAGTGAGTCCGAGGGCCTTGAGGGCACATGACGGACAGAATCCACCAGCTGAGGAGAGAGGGACGAGGAGGAGGAGGAGGGAGCAGACGAGGGAGAGACGAGGCATCTGAAATTGAGGGAGGGTACGGTATGGAGGGGTAATTTATAACAAGAGCATAAAAAGCAATCGTTCGTCCTAGTAAAGTCCGAAATCGAAGTCAAAGTTAAGTTGAGATAGAGAGACTGAAACTAGAAAAATCAGAGAGAAAAAGCAAGCTAAAGTGAATGAGAAGCATCTAGAAAGCGTGAACGCGAAAGAAAAAGAGAGCGCATTTGGGCGAGAGAGAAGAGAGAAAGAGAGAGAGCGAGAGAGAAAGAAAGCTAGAGAGAGAGAGAGAGAGAGAGAGAGAGAGAGAGAGAGAGACAGAGAGTCCTCAGAGTTGCGTCGTATGAAAGCGAAACCTCCAAAGTCCAAAAAAGTACGGGAAATCCTCTTTCCGTACGTAATGCAACGTATCGTACGTGCACACGCGATTGGGCCATCCGAAGATCTCGGATCTGAGGGGTGAGGGGTTGCGGGATGCGTGTGACGCCCCGAGTTTGCCTACCGTCAAAAAGTGACACCCCAACCGGGGACACCATATTTCAGGTCGACGATCAGCATGACCCGATATTCAGGGCTTCTGAGAACGTGAAAATGACAAGAAAACCGCGCATTAATGACTAGCTCGGTTTTTTTGTGTGGTTTTCTTTTATGTTTAGTGCTTTTTTAATTTGGGGACGACATATTTAATGGAAAAATCGCAAAATTTGCAGAAATGTCAAAAAATGATAGAAAACGAGCCCACAATGACAAGAAAATTCCCGGAATAAATATAACATTTTAAAAACGGAATAAAACGGCGTGCATGGCGGCTTAAAATTGGGCAATGGCAAATTGGCTTTTCAACGTTAGAAGCATCGAAACATATCTATTAAAGCAGAGTCTCCGCATCGAGCATCAACCATAGCCAGTGAAAATTTAAAAATCAAGACAAATTAGTAAAACTTGGCCTTAAAACGTCAAGAAATCCAGAGTTTCCGAAGGTGCCGAGCAGTTTAAAGGAGCCGACAAGTCAGCAAACGACAGTAGCTGTTCTTGCCACAGAAAATGAGTGCCCACACCGGTGCCCCAGCTGCTTCTTTTACTAGCGGACACGGCACACGGAAAGGGGCGGAAGCGGTGGATGGGGGACACGCATTTATGCTTCTTCTTACAGGGGGCGGGCAGGGTAGGAGAGAGAGACAGAGAGAGAGAGAGAGAGAGAGAGAGAGAGAGAGAGAGAGCGTGTCCTGTCTCCAGAATGAATCACAATCATCAGGTCATCTCCATCATCAGGATCAGGCTGAGGAGGGTCGAGTGCCATGATTGTCGGCATTCTTCAGGGCATCGTCGGCCCTCGTGTGTCGATGTGTTAAGGGTAAATATGCGGAATTTCCGTGTTTGCGAGCAAGTTCTGTGGCCGGCAAGGTTTGCCAAAAAATGGATAACAATCCAACGTTTTTAGGACCTTAGCGTAGGCCAGATTAAAAACAGCGCTGCGGTACAAATTACGTATTTTATGCATTTCTCCGGGAGAGTATGTTAATGTCTACGTTTTCAACAGCAAGGGTTTTACTTTTTTGGTTTTTTCTGTTTTGCCGTCTTTCGAAATTTCAGCTAAAAGCGCATAGCCGAATCGTTATAAGGAGCGTAACGTAGTGAAAATCAAGAACTACGCTACAACGCGCTGTTCT